ATGGGGTCCTGGTTTAGTGGCACCATATGGCAAATTTGGGAAGCACACACCAGTAGCAGTCAAAGTGCAGTGAGAAATAGAATAAAACCTAGAATCTGTCCTAATTTGCTCTGTGGCCTAAGGTCAGGTGAAGTCACTTCATCTTTCTAGGTCCCATTTTCCTTATCTGCAAAATAAGAGGGTCAAACTACATGATCACAAAGGTCTTTTTCAATTCTAGATCTAGACCCCCATGTTCTCTAAGGTCATTCTCCTTCAGCTCTAACAGCCCAAGAATCTCAACCTTTGTGTACTCCACTTCTCTGATCTCAAATGCCCTCCCTCTTCCTCTCACCTAAACCATGAATGACACTCCCTGTCTTTGTAACTGTGCTCTAAGCTCACCTCCTCCAGGAAGCTTTTCTTGACTCATGTCACTCCATTTCTGCCTATCACATGCCCTGAGACCTCAATTATTTCAACTTGTTCATGTGCTCTCTGTATGCATTTTCACTTCTTTATCTGTCTGGCTACCCAAAACACGAGCTACCCATGAGCAAGGACAGAGGAAAGCCTAAAAACCTCAGGAGATTTCCTGCCCATCCTCTGTATCTCCCCATAGTACTTTCTAGAGAACACTGTGCATAGAAACTGAGTCATAGTGAAAATTAGAGCCAGCACTATAGATATTACTGCTCTCTTAGGAAGATCATAGCTCTAGAACCAAAAGTGTCATCTACCCCCTCATCTTACAGGTCAGGAAATTTAGGGAAACTAAGTCACTTCCAAGGTCAAAAAAGTTAGTAAGTAGCAGCGGGAAGCTTTGAACCCAGGTCTTCTGATTCCAGGGCCAGTATTGTTTCCATTCTATCAGACTGCTTCTCAAAGATAAAGGTAGTAGGGATAGAAGGAGTCTAAAAATTAGACTAGGTTTTGTTTTTTTGTTTTGTTTTGTTTTGATCCACTAATTCTACTCTTCCTCCCTCACCCTCCCAAACAAGGATCCTCGTGAAGGAAGTATGTGATATTTCTGAGGGCAGATCCTGGGTTCTAGTAGCTAACCTCCAGTTCATTTCCCCCAATATGTCATTATTTAGGAGTCCAGACCCTTCCTCCAGCCCAGGGGAAGCCACTGAACCCGAGCTTGAAAATACCAGAAGCCTCGCTATTTACACACTTTACCATACATGGGAATCATTAATAGCCTACGTCAGACAAATTCCTAGGGAGCAATGTATTCCAGCCACAACATTATCATATAAATTCCTGACAACCAGAGGCAGCCGGCAGGATACAAGGGACTTACCCCTCCAGACAGTGACAGAGCAACTAGTTAATAATGCTCATTCTCCCCCTCCACCCCCACATAACACCTCTACCTCTCTCTTGCGCTGCAAGGTCTCTCTTTAATCCTTATTCTTTCAAGAAACTCCCTTTTCTAGACTCATGCTTCTCCCCATAGACCTAGCTTCCTTAGGTCTAGTGTTACTGGATGCATAAGGATCCCAGGGACCAATCCTCTCCTTTATGTAGATATGGACTTGACAGAAAATTGGAAGGCTATGAGTTCCAACTTACCTCTCATTATGGTGCTCTGTGGCACGCTACTTTACTTCTTTAAAATGTGAAAATTCATCTTTTCTTCAAAATGTCTATAGACAATTATACAATTCTTTAAAAATCTAAAACATAATACGAATGCTGACTATTGTCCTGCGATTGTAATTTCTCTAGCCATAATTACTTTAGTGTTACACACTCTGTTCAAGGCAGGACTTAAAAGATTGCCTAGCCTATTGAGAGAAATTTGGAGAAGCAAGCTAAAAGTACCATAAGGACAACTTTGCTTGAACTCCTATGAGGCCACCTTATGTCCCTGTGAGACAGCTCAGATCAGACTGAGAAAACCCTATTACGCTTACCTCCAGGTGAGTATACCGTTTTTTTCCTTGATACCTTTCCTCTTGGATCTAATTCCTGTCCCAAATTCTCTGAAAGGCTGGTTTTACTACCAAAAATATAAAATCCAGTAGCCACCAAAATCTTTCCAAATCTGCCCTTCCTTCCCAAAGCACCACACAGAATTCTTCTAGTATTTTTCTACTTGCCTGGCCTTTGTTTTCTACATTGTTACTAATCTAAGGAAAACCAGAAAGTAACCATTTAACATGGTTTCAATAAAATAGAGAAACATGATGAATCAAATACTACTCAGTTACCAGCCAGTGGCACAGGTTAGTTAAAAACCCCAGCTTTCTAAAATCTAGTCTTGAGCTCTGTCTCTCACTGACAGAAGTAAAAGACATTTGAAATTAAGAAAGAAAAGATCTGCCATAGCCAGGAAAAAGCCAGATTAAAGAAGTTAGATTTAAATGGAGGGAAAGGAGTGGGGTTGCTATCTCTCTGTGTTTTCTTCTGTGTCTCAGTCTCATTCTCTCTATGTCTCTTTGTCCATGTCTCTCTCTATATCTCTCTGTGTCTCTCTTTATGTGTCTCTGACTCTTTGTCTCTCTCCTTCCTCACTGTATCCCTCATTAGCAACCCTGGTTCTCTCAAAGTTTCCTCCTAGGACTAAAATGTCATGTTTCCATAATGAAAATGCAGCCTTCTCTGTCCAGCTGACTCCATCTCCCCCACCCCTTTTACTGCTTTATAAAGGCTAGAAAGTCCTGTCCCTCCCTTTTATCACCCTATATAACATTCCTTAATGAATTTCCTTTTCCCTCTGACCTACTACATACAGCTTAACTCAGGATGTCCACAAAAGGAGGTTAAGATGGGCAGAAGGATGGCCTCTGGGGTAACCCACAGCAAGTTGACCTGCTGGGTGGATGTGTGAAGAAGTTCACCTGAGCTCATGTCTTCCTTTACAATCACGTGTCAGAGATCTGGCTTAGTGATCTGGGAAGGGGCTGATCCAATAGGGCTGGAGGTTAGTGCAGGAAAATGGGATTACACTCCAAAGATAGCCGGGCTTCTCAGCTATCCAAGAAACCAAGGGAACCAAGGGGTTCTTCCTCTTTTCCATTCGATGAAGGGGAAGCCCTCTCCCTAACTTCAGAGCTGATGACAGAACTAATGAAGAAATCTCTTCTGAAGGAACAGAACCAAGGAGATTGTAGGTTTAGATCTGGAAGGACCCTAATGGCCATATAGACCAGCCCCCTCATTTTAAAGATGAGAAATTAAGGACCAGACAGGTTAGGGGATTTGCCCTAGGTCACACCAAGAGTTAAGTGGTGGAGGTGGGATTTGAACTCAGTTCTTCCTGACTCCAAGTCAAGCACTCTATCCACTATATCATGTGCTGTTTGATGTGGAGAATTTAAAAAATAAAATAAAAAACAACAAAATGGTTTAGTGAGATCAGATGTCCTGATACCCTGGAGGGAAGTTTAAAATTGCTTAATTAGTATGTTATTGTTATTTTATTGTGGCTTACATATAAAATATATGATAGCAAGTTATAAACTTGTTGGCATTTTGTATGATTTCATTCCTAACTCTGATTTTTCAATTGAGATGATTGTTAAATTTATGGGGGTTTTCCTCAGTATTCTGCTGGGGCAGGCTCTGAAAGAATGACAAGACAGCTCCCAAACTCTTCTGTTACTTTTCCCCAACACCCTTCTCATTTCAGCTCTGTCACAGGCCAAGCCCCAACGAGGGTGCTCTACTCCATTTAATTCCCCAAGATAGGTAAAAGGTTAATTAGGCAGATCAGTTCCTCTCTCCCCTAAAATGGAGGAACTCAAGCAGGCAAAGGCAGAGCCCAGCATTTTATAGGAGGAAGTTAAGGAAGTACATTGTACCGCTGCCATCTAAGACGCAGATCCTGATTCAAACTGGAAAAAAAAAAAAAAGGCAGGAAAAGGTGGGAATGGAGGGTTTGGATTAGACGGTTCTCTGGTCCCTTCCAGCTCTATCCTTCTATGCCTTTATGGAATATCCCCGTGTAGGGAAAGCCAGTACTAGGTGTGGGGCTGCCAGGGACCCCAGGAGACCGCACAATTATGTGAGCTTTCAGGCCTCTGGAATCTTCTTCTCTCAGCAGCCAACCCCAAGAGGCAGGTCTTAAATATATGACACAGGTCTTAAGTGTAAGAACAGGAAAGACAGATCTTACCAGCAGGTAGAGAAAGGCAGTTGGAAAGTTTTCAGCTTTTCTGCAAGCAGAGTCCTTTCAGAGAACTAAAAAGAACACTGACAGTTAAGGTCACTGTGTCAAAGGCCTTCAGGCCACCAGGGTTCCAGTCTAGATTTGAAGCCTCGAATCTGCTCCAATGGCCTCTCTCCCCCTCTCCCCCAGTCACACGGTCCTTCATTTCTGACCCTAACAAGACAGGAAACCAGAGGGGTGAGAAGCAGGGGAGAGCGCAGTGCCTGGTACATAAGGGGTGCTTGACATGTTGGTTGAATGGAATGACATAGATGCCCACATTTTCCCTTCCTGACACAATGAGCGTTGGTACAGCCAAGAAGCAGCTTTCTAGTCGTTGCTGTCACTCAGCATGCCCTCAGCCCCAACGGAAAGGAGGTGAAAGGAAGGAAGAAGGAAAATCTCTGCAGGGGCTGCAGGGGTTGCTGGGGAGGCTCGAGGGATGAAGGACCCTCCAGGAGAGAGAAGCCAAGCCAGAGAGCTAACACAGCCCCAACAGTATGCCCCACCTGGTCGTGGCCACACCAGATGGTCAGAACTTCTCTCTTAACGTTTTTCTCCAGTTGCCCCTCTCTGCCCCTTCGCTTCCTGCTCAGCTCCGAGCGCCCCCAGGAAGCCCCCAGGAACACTCCCTCCCCGCTGGCGCGAGAACCAGAGCGGCCAGGGGAAGGCGGAGGGCCAGCGGGCCTGAGCGCCACGCCGCGGGTGCCAGCCAGGCTGGTGAGGGTAGGATGGGTGGGGATGGGAGGGAGTGCCTACTGCCCACTGCACGAGCCCAGGCGGAGGGAGGGCACAGCCCTGGCCGGAGGCCCGGTCCCTGCAGCTGCGGGACAGAGCTGGAGGGCAGGAGCGGCTCACTCACCTGACAGCGGTGGCTGGCTCCTAGGGCGGGCAGGCTGAAAGGAGCTCTCCGCAGTGGTCCGTTGGGTCCCGCTCGGGCCCCTCCGCTTTGTTTTTGTTCTCCTCCCGAGAAGGCGTGTCCCGGAGCAAAACCAACCATCAGAAGGCTTTGCACACAGCACCAGCGGGGCGCTGATGTCATGTTTCCTGAACACAGTCTCGGGGGCGCCAAAGGACCCCGGGGCAGCCCAGCTTGGCGAGGCCCAACCCGCCAGGGAGGCCCCGAGGCAGCAGAGGACCCGGAGCTCTACATTCTACCCTGTGCCTGGACCGCTGCCCCGAAGGGGTGCCACTGAGCCTTAGACGGGACAGGGCACCATCTTTATGTGGCGAGGTCCTCTTAAGGTTTCTTTCTGAACGGGTGTAAATGGAAACCCACGTGGAGATGTCCTCTGGCTTTATCTGATTTCTTTCTTGGAGAGGTGGGGGCCTAGGTGTGTGAGATGTTGCATAGGTGGTCAATGGGTTGACTGTTTTGTTTGTTTGCTTGCTTTTAAGCATTGTTAGAAGGCCCAGTAGGTAGGGGAATGGCTTATGTAAGGTAAAAACCAAAGACATCAACAAAACTAATTTAAAAGATAAAAGTAAAAGAGGCTTTCAAACTCTTTTAGCCCACCTTAGTTCCCAGGATAAAGAAAAATCCACTACTCTCAGTACAGTAGATGTTCAAAGTGGAGAGGAGAGAAGCAAACTGGTGGGGCGGAGGAGGTAGAGAAATCCAGCTTGCTACGTTCCTCTAAGCCTAAATTTTCTTCCGCCGCCTAGCAGCTGCTCTAAACCCTGTATTTCCGTCTCTGAAAGGGATTGAAATTTTCCTTTGACCTCTCTGGGTCCTAATCTCTAGTTTGTAAAACATTCTCTTGGGTTGCTCAGAGTTTTTGCCATCTTGCGCGTGTAGCTGATGCAGTAACGGGATAGGGACTGAAGCTGTAATTTCGTTGATATAAGGAAACCCTGGGTGAGGGACCGCCTCCAGGGGTGGGGAATCTGCAACCTGGAGGCCACAGGTGGCCTTCTAGGTCCTCGAGTGCGGCCCTTTGACTGAATCCAAACTTCACAGAACAAATCCTTTTATTAAGGCATATAGTATACCAAGGCAGACTGGTCTGTTCTCTATTAGGGGTTGCCCAGGGTCACGCAGTACAATACAATGCAATACAATAAGTATTTATTAAGCACCTACCATACGCCAGGCATTGTGCTAACTTCTGGGGATGCAAATAAGAAAGACAGTCTCTATCTCCAAGGAGCTTACAATCTAATGGGGGAAGACAATATACAAAAGGAAGCTGAAAAGGAGAGGGATGATGGTGGTGATGATGGTAATGATGATGGTGGTGGTGATGATGGTGGGGGGGGTGTCAAAACCAAGCTCAGCATCGGTGAGAAAAGAAGCAATGTCTGTGATTCTGAACCCTCTATAAAGTGAAACTTTGGGGAGAGTTTTTTGTTCTACCCTTCAGGCCTGCAGTCAGAGGGGCAGGAGCAACTGAGGGTTACTGATGAGGTATGACTACCAAAGCTAAAGCAATCTGTATGGTAATGAGTTTCCTGGTGTTAAGCTAACCTGAATAGAGAGGGGTATGTGATGATGATGATGATGATGGAGTTGAAACCAAGCAGAGCAGCTGGTGACAATCGAAGAGACTCACACAGCCAGGATGTGCCCTGTCATCTAAGCCTCAGCTGTACCCCCTCAGGGCCAGTGGTCCAGACGCTGGGTGGGACAAAGAGGCAGGATTTGAAAACAGGTCTTCCTAACTTAAAGGCCCAAGTTGTCTCCACTGTGCCATGGTAGCAGAATGCAGTAACATAGTCTCCATTATTTCCTCCACTCCCACCACTCAGTTCTAGTGGAGAAAGGTTTGAGGAAGGAGAAAAGAAGAGCTTTATGAATGTGAAGAGCAGATACCTTCCTGAATGGTACAAAATTCAAATTGGAGAAACATTATAAAAATTTAACAACCATCCTCCTGTTTCCCATATCATGTGGGGTGAACCATGTCCTCCCTCCTTCTGCCTGCAACAGTACCCCTACTCTGCACTCTTAGTGCAGAAGCCTTAACCTCTTGGTTTGCTGAGAAGACTGAGGCCCTCTTGAAATGGGAGCTTGATGTACCACTATGCCACTATGATATGCCACCAGGCTCCTCAATGGTTTTACACATTCAGAAGAGTCACAGCAAAGAGGTCACCCTACTCTTTGGTAAAGAGGATCCCTCTACTTGAGCCCATGGAGGAAGAGCTCTGGACTTGGAGGCAACTCTTCTATTTACTTGCTGTGTGACCTTGGGTAAATAATTTAACCTCTCTGGGCCTCAGTTTCCTCATTTTTAAAAAAGAAGTTGAATTGGAATACCTGAAAGGGCTCTCTAAGGGCAATGTGTCATAACAGTCAGGAGATCTGGATTTGAATCCTGCTTCTGATACTATCTGTGGATTTGGGGTAAATCACTTAGCTTTTCAGAACCTCAGTTCCCTCTTCTGTTAATTGGGGACAATAATGCTTGTACTACCCATATTACAGAGTGGTTGTGAGGAAAGTACTTTGCAAACAGTCATGTGCTATTTGTTGCTCAGTCGTTTCAGGTGTGTCTGACTCTCTGTGACCCCATTTGTGGCTTTCTTGGCAGAGATGCTGGAGTGGTTCGTCATTTCATTCTCCAGCTCATTGTATAGATGAGGAAACTGAGGCAAACAGGGTGAAGTGACTTGCCCAAGGTTACACAGCTAGCTAGTAAGTATCTGAGGTCAAATTTGAATTCAGGTCTTCCTGACTTTCAGGCCCAGTGGTCTATTCACTCCACCACCTAGCTGCCCTAAAGTACTATAAAAACATGAATTGTTTTTAAATCCTAAAACAGGGATAGGGAACCCAAGGCTGTGAGATCACATGTGGCTCTCTAGGCCCTCAAATGCAGCCCCCCCAAAAAAAGTTTGGATTCAGTCAAAAGGCCACACTTGAGGACCTAGAGGGCCACATGTGGCCTCAAGGTCGGAAGGATCCCCACCCCTGTCCTGAGACCTCTCCTCTGCGTGAAAGAGACCACTGGATAGAGGGAGCGAGCGGCCTTCCCAAAATTTTGATTTGTTATAAGCTTAGTCAATAAGCATTCATTAAGTGTCTACTATGTGCCCGGCACTACACTAAGCCTGGAAATAGAGAGAAAGGCAAAAGACAGTCCCTAATCTTCTCTAGAAGGAGATACACCAACAGATAGCACATCACTGTTTGCAAAGTACTTTCCTCACAACCGCTCTGTGATATGGGTAGTATAAGCATTATTATCCCCAATTAACAGAAGAGGGAACTGAGGTTCTGAAAAGTTAAATGATTTACCCCAAATCCACAGATAATATCAGAAGCAGGATTCAAATCCAGATCTCCTGACTGTTATGACACATTGCCCTTAGGGAGCCCTTTCAGATCATCCAGTTCAACTTCTCTTTAAAAAATGAGGAAACTGAGGCCCAGAGAGGTTAAATTATTTACCCAAGGTCACACAGCAAGTAAATAGAAGAGTTGCCTCCAAGTCCAGAGCTCTTCCTACTACTCTACTGCTACTCCTGGACCCTGGATGAAGTCCTTGTCAAGGAATCTGGAATAATCAGAACAATTGAATTCCCTGGGTAAATAAGAAGGCATTTCAAGGAATGATCCCCATAGTGGATCCTGATTATGGTAGGATCACAGATCCAGTAGGAATCTCAGAGACCAACTCACCCACCACCCTCATTTTACAATAGAGGAGACTGAGGCCTAGGCAAGTCAAGCAACTTGCCCAAGATGGCCCAGGAAGGAAACATCAGAGATGGCATTTGAACCCTGCTCATCTGACTCCAAAGCCAGTGCTCTTTCCATTCTACCCTGCCCCCACTGGCTCCCCATTACCACCAGCTGCAAAAAACAGGCAGCATTTTTTCAATGCTCACAAATTAGCCAGTAGAGTACCCCATCACCCAGTGAAGGATAATACATTTTTTTTTCTTGGAGAGAGAGAATGAGGACAGAGTTGTTTCCAAAGGGCCATGAGTGAGAAACACGCACATAAGAGCATAGATGTAGACAGGGAGGGGACCTTAGAGATCAGACTGTGTCTGAAGTGGAAAGGGCATTAATAGACAATGTATTTTGTACCCAGGATAGATGGATTACATTATTATCCTAGGCCGAAGGCTACAACCGGACAATGACACACCCAACACCCTAGTGCAAGCAGACCCACCAATGATACACACTGAGTTCCTTGTCAGTGGAATCAATCAACAAGCGTTTATTAAGTAATTAATATGTGGCAAGCTGTTTGTCAAGGAAGCACTTGGGAGTGCAAAGAAAAAGTGAAAAGTCATGCCCTCAAGAAGCTTACATTCTAATGGTAAAGCTAGCATGTGTACATATGGGTATATATGAGATGCATATAAGTAGATAAGAGGTAACTTTTCGAGGGGAAGGTGCTAGTAGTGTGCAGGGCTATGGGACCAGGACAAAAGGAAGCCAGGTATTTTAAGACAGGTAAGGAGGGAGAGTATCCTAGGCATGGGAGATAGTGAGTGCAAAGGCCCAGACATGAAGTGGGATGGGGAGGATTGCAAGTAGGAGGAGAGTTCTGTGTGACAAGATTAGAAAGGTGGGAAAGGAGAAGATTGTGAAAAATTTTCACTGCTAAACAGACCAGTTTGTATTTGACACTAGAGTTAATTGGGAGCCATTAGAGTTTGCAAGAAGACCGGTTCATCTGGTACATAGAGTGCATGAATGGGGTTCTTTAAGAGTGTTTGTAGGCAGCAAGGAAGGGGCCAGTAGAGAGGAAGAGACTAAAGATAAGGGAGAATGTGGGAAATGATAGTGAGAGCAATCTGCTGGAGAAGATTGGAGGGGATAGGATCAAGGGTATGTAGAGATGGGTTGGCCTTGGCACCATTGAGGGAGGCATGAGTAAAGGAAGAGACAGCGGGAGAATCTGTCTGACTGAAGGGAGATCAGGAGGGAAGAAGAAGCTGCTCTTGGTGAATGTCCTCAATTATTTTTGTCGAAGTAGATGAGGAAGTCTCAACTGAGAGATCCAGAGG